CACGGATGTGGACGTGGACGTGGACGTGGTCGTGGACGTGGACGTGGACGTGGTGGTGGAGGTGGACGTGGACGTGGACGTGGTCGTGGACGTGGACGTGGTCGTGGACATGGACGTGGACGTGGACGTGGACGTGGACTTGGACGTGGACGTGGACGTCGACGTGGACGTGGACGTGGACGTGGTCATGGACGTGGACGTGGACGTGGACGTGAACGTGGAGGTGGACGTGGTCATGGACGTGGACGTGGACGTAGACGTGGACGTGGTCGTGGACGTGGTCGTGGACGTGGACGTGGACGTAAACGTGGACGTGGACGTGGACGTGGAGGACGTGGACGTGGACGTGGACTAGGACGTGGACGTGGACGTGGACTTGGACGTGGACTTGGACGTGGACGTGGACGTGGACGTAGACGTGGACGTGGACGTAGACGTGGTCGTGGACGTGGACGTGGATGTGGACGTGGAGGTGGACGTGGTTGTAGACATGGACGTGGACGTGGACGTGGACATGGACGTGGACATGGACGTGGACGTGGAGAACGTGGACGTGGACGTGGAGGACGTGGACGTGGACATGGACGTGGACGTGGAGAACGTGGACGTGGAGGACGTGGACGTGGACGTGGACGTGGACTTGGACGTGGAAGTGGTCGTGGACGTGGACGTGGTCGTGGACGTGGACGTGGACGTAGAGGTGGACGTAGTCGTGGACGAGGTGGACGTGGACGTGGACGTGGAGGACGTGGACGTGGACGTGGACGTGGACGTGGACTTGGACATGGTCGTGGACGTGATGTGGACGTGGACATGGACCTGGACGTGGTCGTGGACTTGGACGTGGACGTGGTCGTGGACGTGGACGTGGACGTGGACGTGGTCGTGGACGTGGACGTGGACGTGGACGTGAACGTGGACATGGACGTGGACTTGGACGTGGTCGTGGACGTGGAGGACGTGGACGTGGACGTGGACGTGGACGTGGACTTGGACATGGTCGTGGACGTGATGTGGACGTGGACATGGACCTGGACATGGTCGTGGACTTGGACGTGGACGTGGTCGTGGACGTGGACGTGGACGTGAACGTGGACATGGACGTGGACTTGGACGTGGTCGTGGACGTGGACGTAGACGTGGACGTGGACGTAGACGTAGAGGACGTGGACGTGGACGTGGTCGTGGACGTGGACGTGGACGTGGACGTGGAGGTGGACGTGGTCGTGGACGTGGTGGACGTGGACGTGGACCTGGACGTGGAGGACATGGACGTGGACGTGGAGGATGTGGACGTGGACCTGGACGTGGACGTGGACCTGGACGTGGACGTGGACATGGATGTAGACGTGGACGTGGACGTGGTCGTGGACGTGGACGTGGACGTGGTGGTGGACGTGGACGTGGACTTGGACGTGGTCGTGGACGTGAACGTGGACGTGGACGTGGACGTGGACTTGGACGTGGACGTGGACGTCGACGTAGACGTGGACGTGGACGTGGTCATGGACGTGGACGTGGACGTGGACGTGAACGTGGACGTAGACCTGGAAGACGTGGACGTGGACATGGAGGATGTGGACGTGGATGTGGATGTAGACGTGGACGTGGACCTGGACGTGGACTTGGACGTGGACGTGGACGTTGACGTGGACGTGGACGTGGTCATGGACGCGGAATTGGTCGTGGACGTGGACGTGGACGTGGACGTCGACGTGGACGTGGTTGTGGACGTGGACATGGACGTGAACGTGGAGGTGGACGTGGTCGTGGCCATGGACGTGGACTTGGACGTGGACTTGTACGTGGTCGTGGACGTGGAAGTGGTCGTGGACGTGGACGTGGTCTTGGACGTGGACGTGGACGTGGTCGTGGACGTGGACGTCGACGTGGACTTGGACGTGGACGTGGACGTAGACGTGGACGTGGACGTGTACGTGGTCGTGGACGTGGAAGTGGTCGTGGACGTGGACGTGGTCTTGGACGTGGACGTGGTCGTGGACGTGGACGTGGACGTGGACTTGGACGTGGACGTGGGCGTGGACGTGGACGTGGACGTGGACGTTGATGTGGACGTCGACGTGGACGTGGTCGTGGACGTGGACGTCGACGTGGACGTGGACGTGGACGTGGACGTGAACGTGGAGGTGGACGTGGTCGTGGACGTGGATGTAGACGTGGAGGTGGACGTGGACGTGGACATGGACTTGGACATCGACGTAGACGTGGAAGTGGACGTGGACGTGGACGTCGACGTGGGCTTGGACGTGGACGTGGACGTAGACGTGGATGTGGACGTGGACGTGTACGTGGTCGTGGACGTGGAAGTGGTCGTGGACGTGGACGTGGTCTTGGACGTGGACGTGGACGTGGTCGTGGACGTGGACGTGGACGTGGACTTGGACGTGGACGTGGGCGTGGACGTGGACGTGGACGTGGACGTGGACGTGGATGTGGACGTCGACGTGGACGTGGTCGTGGACATGGACGTCGACGTGGACGTGGACGTGGTCGTGGACGTGGACGTGGACGTGGACGTGAACGTGGAGGTGGACGTGGTCGTGGACGTGGATGTAGACGTGGAGGTGGACGTGGACGTGGACATGGACTTGGACGTGGACGTAGACGTGGACGTGGACGTGGACGTCGACGTGGACGTGGACTTGGACGTGGACGTGGACGTGGACGTAGACGTGAACGTGGACATGGACGTGGTCGTGGACGTGGAAGTGGTCCTGGACATGGACGTGGACGTGGACGTAGAGGTGGACGTAGTCGTGGACGTGGTGGACGTGGACGTGGACGTGGAGGACGTGGACGTGGACGTGGACTTGGACCTGGTCGTGAACGTGATGTGGACGTGGACATGGACCTGGACGTGGTCGTGGACGTGGACGTGGTCGTAGACGTGGACGTGGACGTGGACGTGGTCGTGGACGTGGACGTGGACGTGGACGTGGACGTGGACGTGAACGTGGACATGGACGTGGACTTGGACGTGGTCGTGGACGTGGACGTAGACGTGGACGTGGACGTAGACGTAGAGGACGTGGACGTGGACGTGGACGTGGTCGTGGACGTGGACGTGGACGTGGACGTGGACGTGGAGGTGGACGTGGTCGTGGACGTGGTGGACGTGGACGTGGACCTGGACGTGGAGGACGTGGACGTGGACGTGGAGGACGTGGACGTGGACCTGGACGTGGACGTGGACCTGGACGTGGACGTGGACATGGATGTAGACGTGGACGTGGACGTGGTCGTGGACGTGGACGTGGACGTGGTGGTGGACGTGGACTTGGACGTGGTCGTGGACGTGGACGTGGACGTGGACTTGGATGTGGACGTGGACGTCGACGTAGACGTGGACGTGGTCATGGACGTGGACGTGGACGTGGACGTGAACGTGGACGTAGACCTGGAAGACGTGGACGTGGACGTGGAGGATGTGGACGTGGATGTGGATGTAGACGTGGACGTGGACCTGGACGTGGACTTGGACGTGGACGTGGACGTTGACGTGGACGTGGACGTGGTCATGGACGTGGAATTGGTCGTGGACGTGGACGTGGACGTGGACGTGGACGTGGACGTGGACGTCGACGTGGATGTGGTTGTGGACGTGGACATGGACGTGAACGTGGAGGTGGACGTGGTCGTGGCCATGGACGTGGACGTGGACGTGGACGTGGACGTGGACTTGGACATGGACGTAGACGTGGAAGTGGACGTGGACGTGGACGTCGACGTGGACTTGGACGTGGACGTGGACGTAGACGTGGACGTGGACGTGTACGTGGTCGTGGACGTGGAAGTGGTTGTGGACATGGACGTGGACGTGGACGTAGAGGTGGACGTAGTCGTGGACGTGGTGGACGTGGACGTGGAGGACGTGGACGTGGACGTATACGTGGACTTGGACGTGGTCGTGGACGTGATGTGGACGTGGACATGGACCTGGACGTGGTCGTGGACGTGGACGTGGACGTGGTCGTGGACGTGGACGTGGACGTGGACGTGGTCGTGGACGTGGACGTGAACGTGGACATGGACGTGGACTTGGACGTGGTCGTGGACGTGGACGTAGACGTGGACGTGGACGTAGACGTAGACGTAGAGGACGTGGACGTGGACGTGGACGTGGTCGTGGACGTGGACGTGGACGTGGAGGTGGACGTGGTCGTGGACGTGGTGGACGTGGACGTGGACCTGGACGTGGAGGACGTGGACGTGGACGTGGAGGACGTGGACGTGGACCTGGACGTGGACGTGGACCTGGACGTGGACGTGGACATGGATGTAGACGTGGACGTGGTCGTGGACGTGGACGTGGACGTGGTGGTGGACGTGGACGTGGACTTGGACGTGGTCGTGGACATGGACGTGGACGTGGACGTGGACTTGGACGTGGACATGGACGTCGACGTAGACGTGGACGTGGACGTGGTCATGGACGTGGACGTGGACGTGGACGTGAACGTGGACGTAGACCTGGAAGACGTGGACGTGGACGTGGAGGATGTGGACGTGGATGTGGATGTAGACGTGGACGTGGACCTGGACGTGGACTTGGACGTGGACGTGGACGTTGACGTGGACGTGGACGTGGTCATGGACGTGGAATTGGTCGTGGACGTGGACGTGGACGTGGACGTGGACGTGGACGTCGACGTGAACGTGGTTGTGGACGTGGACATGGACGTGAACGTGGAGGTGGACGTGGTCGTGGCCATGGACGTGGACGTAGACGTAGACGTGGACGTGGACGTGGACGTGGACGTGGACTTGGACATGGACGTAGTCGTGGAAGTGGACGTGGACGTGGACGTCGACGTGGACGTGGACGTCGACGTGTACTTGGACGTGGACGTGGACGTAGACGTGGACGTGGACGTGGACGTGGACGTGTACGTGGTCGTGGACGTGGAAGTGGTCTAGGGTTGGACGTGGACGTGGACTTGGACGTGGACGTGGTCTTGGACGTGGACGTGGTCGTGGACATGGACGTGGACGTGGACTTGGACGTGGACGTGGGCGTGGACGTGGACGTGGACGTGGACGTGGATGTGGACGTCGACGTGGACGTGGTCGTGGACATGGACGTTGACGTGGACGTGGACGTGGTCGTGGACGTGGACGTGGACGTGAACGTGGAGGTGGACGTGGTCGTGGACGTGGATGTAGACGTGGAGGTGGACGTGGACGTGGACATGGACTTGGACGTGGACGTCGACGTGGACGTGGACGTGGACGTCGACGTCGACATGGACTTGGACGTAGACGTGGACGTGGACGTAGACGTGGACGTGGACATGGACGTGGTCGTGGACGTGGAAGTGGTCGTGGACATGGACGTGGAAGTGGTCGTGGACGTGGACGTGGACGTGGACGTGGACTTGGACGTGGACGTGGACAACGACGTCGACGTAGACGTGGTCGTGGACGTGAACGTGAAGGTGAACGTGGTCGTCGACATGGACGTGGATGTAGAGGTGGACGTGGACGTGGACGTGGACTTGGACGTGGACGTAGACGTGGACGTGGACGTGGACGTGGACTTGGACGTAGACGTGGACGTGGTCGTGGACATGGACGTGGACGTAGACATGGACGTGGACGTAGATGTGGACGTGGACATGGACGTGGACGTGAACGTGAACGTGGAGGTGGACGTGGTCGTGGACGAGGTGGACGTGGACGTGGACATGGAGGATGTGGACGTGGACGTGGACCTGGACGTGGACGTGGACTTGGACGTGGACGTGGACGTGGATATGGACGTGGACGTGGATATGGACATTGAAGTGGTCGTGGACTTGGACGTGGTCGTGGACGTGGACGTGGACGTGGTCGTGGACGTGGACGTGGACGTGGTCGTGGACGTGGAAGTGGTCGTGGATGTGGACGTGGACGTGGTCATGGACGTGGACGTGGACGTGGACGTGGACGTGGACTTGGACGTGGACGTGGACGTGGAGGTGGACGTGGTCGTGAACGTGGAGGTGGACGTGGTCGTGGACGTGGACGTCGACTTGGAAGACGTGGACGTGGACGTGGAGGATGTGGACGTGGACGTGGATGTGGACGTGGACGTGGACCTGGACGTGGACGTGGACTTGGACGTGGACGTGGACGTGGACATGGACGTGGACGTGGTCGTGGACGTGGAAGTGGTTGTGGACGTGGACGTGGTCGTGGACGTGGACGTGGACTTGGACGTGGACGTGCACGTGGACGTGGTCGTGGACGTAGACGTGGACGTGGTCGTGGACGTGGACGTGGACGTGGACCTGGACGTGGACGTGGTCGTGGACGTGGACGTGGTTGTGGACGTGGACGTGGTCGTGGACGTGGATGTGGACATCGTGGACGTGGTCGTGGACGTGGACGTGGACGTGGACATGTACGTGGACGTGATCGTGGACGTGGTTGTGGACGTGGTCGTGGACGTGAACTTGAACGTGGACGTGGACGGGGTGGACGTGAACGTGGACGTGGACATGGATGTGGACATGGTCGTGGACGTGGACGTGGACGTGGACGTGGTCGTGGACGTGGACGTGGACGTGGTCGTGGACGTGGACGTGGACGTGGACGTTGACCTGGAGGTGGAAGACGTGGACGTGGAGGTGTACGTGGACGTGGAGGTGGAGGACGTGGACGTGGACGTGTACGTGGACTTGGACATGGCATGGACGTGGACGTGGTCGTGGACATGGACGTGGACGTGGACGTGGACTTGGACGTGGACGTGGACGCGGACGTGGACGTGGACGTGGACGCGGACGTGGACGTGTACGTGGACGTGGACGTGGACGTGTACGTGGACGTGGACGTGGACGTGGACATGGACGTGGACCTGGACGTGGACGTGGACATGGACGTGGACGTTGACGTGGACGTGGACCTGGACGTGGACCTGGACGTGGACGTGGACGTGGACGTGGTCGTGGACGTGGACGTGGACGTGGACGTGGACGTGGTCGTGGACGTGGACGTGGTCGTGGACGTGGACGTGGACGTGGACCTGGACCCGGACCTGGACCTGGACATGGACATGGACGTGGACGTGGACTTGGACGTGGACGTGGACGTGGAGGTGGACGTGGTCGTGAACGTGGAGGTGGACGTGGTCGTGGACGTGGACGTCGACTTGGAAGACGTGGACGTGGAGGATGTGGACGTGGACGTGGATGTGGACGTGGACGTGGACGTGGACGTGGACTTGGACGTGGACGTGGACGTGGACATGGACGTGGACGTGGTCGTGGACGTGGAAGTGGTTGTGGACGTGGACGTGGTCGTGGACGTGGACGTGGACTTGGACGTGGACGTGCACGTGGACGTGGTCGTGGACGTAGACGTGGACGTGGTCGTGGACGTGGACGTGGACGTGGACCTGGACGTGGACGTGGTCGTGGACGTGGACGTGGTTGTGGACGTGGACGTGGTCGTGGACGTGGATGTGGACATCGTGGACGTGGTCGTGGACGTGGACGTGGACGTGGACATGTACGTGGACGTGATCGTGGACGTGGTTGTGGACGTGGTCGTGGACGTGAACTTGAACGTGGACGTGGACGTGGACGGGGTGGACGTGAACGTGGACGTGGACATGGATGTGGACATGGTCGTGGACGTGGACGTGGACGTGGACGTGGTCGTGGACGTGGACGTGGACGTGGTCGTGGACGTGGACGTGGACGTGGACGTGGACGTTGACCTGGAGGTGGAAGACGTGGACGTGGAGGTGTACGTGGACGTGGAGGTGGAGGACGTGGACGTGGACGTGTACGTGGACTTGGACATGGCATGGACGTTGACGTGGTCGTGGACATGGACGTGGACGTGGACGTGGACTTGGACGTGGACGTGGACGTGGACGTGGACGCGGACGTGGACGTGTACGTGGACGTGGACGTGGACGTGTACGTGGACGTGGACGTGGACGTGGACATGGACGTGGACCTGGACGTGGACGTGGACATGGACGTGGACGTTGACGTGGACGTGGACCTGGACGTGGACCTGGACGTGGACGTGGACGTGGACGTGGTCGTGGACGTGGACGTGGACGTGGACGTGGACGTGGTCGTGGACGTGGACGTGGTCGTGGACGTGGACGTGGACGTGGACCTGGACCCGGACCTGGACCTGGACATGGACATGGACGTGGACATGGACGTGGAGGACGTGGAGGTGGACGTGGAGGACGTGGACGTGGACGTGCACGTGGACGTTGACGTGGTCGTGGACGTGGACGTGGACGTGGATGTGGACGTGGTCGTGGACGTGGACGTGGACGTGGTCGTGGACATGGACGTGGACGTAGACGTGGTCGTGGACGTGGACTTGGACGTGGACGTGGACGTGGATGTGGATGTGGACGTGGACATGGACATGGACGTGGACGTGGACGTGGATGTGGTCGTGGACGTGGATGTGGACGTGGACGTGAACGTGGACGTAGACGTGGACCTGGACCTGGACGTGGACGTGGACTTGGACGTGGACGTGGACAGACGTGGACGTGGACGTGGACCTGGACCTGGACGTGGACCTGGATGTGAACCTGGACGTGGACGTCGACTTGGACGTGGACTTGGACGTGGACGTGGACGTGGACATCGTCGTGGACGTGGACGTAGACATGGACGTGGACGTAGACGTGGTCGTGGTCGTGGACGTGGATGTGGATGTGGACGTGGAGGTGGACGTGGATGTGGACGTGGAGGTGGACGTGGTGGATGTGGACGTGGACGTGGACATGGACGTGGACGTGGAGAACGTGGACGTGGACGTGGAGGACGTGGACGTGGACGTAGACGTGGACTTGGACGTGGAAGTGGTCGTGGACGTGGTGGACGTAGACGTGGACGTGGACGTGGACGTGGATCTGGACGTGGACGTGGACGTGGACGTGGACTTGGATGTGGACGTGGACGTGGACGTGGACGTGGAGGCGGACGTGGTCGTGGACGTGGTGGACGTGGACGTGGACCTCGATGTGGAGGACCTCGATGTGGAGGACGTGGACGTGGACGTGGAGGACGTGGACGTGGACCCGGACGTGGACGTGGACCTGGACGTGGACGTGGACACGGATGTGGACGTGGACGTGGTCGTGGACGTGGACGTGGACGTGGTGGTGGAGGTGGACGTGGACGTGGTCGTGGACGTGGACGTGGTCGTGGACATGGACGTGGACGTGGACGTGGACGTGGACGTGGACTTGGACGTGGACGTGGACGTCGACGTGGACGTGGACGTGGACGTGGTCATGGACGTGGACGTGGACGTGGACGTGAACGTGGAGGTGGACGTGGTCATGGACGTGAACGTGGACGTAGACGTGGACGTGGACGTGGTCGTGGACGTGGACGTGGACGTGGACGTAGACGTGGACGTGGACGTGGACGTGGAGGACGTGGACGTGGACGTGGACTAGGACGTGTACGTGGACGTGGACTTGGACGTGGACTTGGACGTGGACGTGGACGTGGACGTAGACGTGGACGTGGACGTAGACGTGGTCGTGGACGTGGACGTGGATGTGGATGTGGAGGTGGACGTGGTTGTGGACGTGGTGGATGTGGACGTGGACGTGGACGTGGACATGGACGTGGATGTGGACATGGACGTGGACGTGGAGAACGTGGACGTGGACGTGGAGGACGTGGACGTGGACATGGACGTGGACGTGGAGAACGTGGACGTGGAGGACGTGGACGTGGACGTGGACGTGGACTTGGACGTGGAAGTGGTCGTGGACGTGGACGTGGTCGTGGACGTGGACGTGGACGTAGAGGTGGACGTAGTCGTGGACGTGGTGGACGTGGACGTGGACGTGGAGGACGTGGACGTGGACGTGGACGTGGACTTGGACGTGGTCGTGGACGTGATGTGGACGTGGACATGGACCTGGACGTGGTCGTGGACGTGGACGTGGTCGTGGATGTGGACGTGGACGTGGTCGTGGACGTGGACGTGGACGTGGACGTGGACGTGAACGTGGACATGGACGTGGACTTGGACGTGGTCGTGGACGTGGACGTAGACGTGGACGTGGACGTAGACGTAGAGGACGTGGACGTGGACGTGGTCGTGGACGTGGACGTGGACGTGGACGTGGAGGTGGACGTGGTCGTGGACGTGGTGGACGTGGACGTGGACCTGGACGTGGAGGACATGGACGTGGACGTGGAGGACGTGGACGTGGACCTGGACGTGGACGTGGACCTGGACGTGGACGTGGACATGGATGTAGACGTGGACGTGGACGTGGTCGTGGACGTGGACGTGGACGTGGTGGTGGACGTGGACGTGGACTTGGACGTGGTCGTGGACGTGGACGTGGACGTGGACGTGGACGTGGACTTGGACGTGGACGTGGACGTCGACGTAGACGTGGACGTGGACGTGGTCATGGACGTGGACGTGGACGTGGACGTGAACGTGGACGTAGACCTGGAAGACGTGGACGTGGACGTGGAGGATGTGGACGTGGATGTGGATGTAGACGTGGACGTGGACCTGGACGTGGACTTGGACGTGGACGTGGACGTGGACGTTGACGTGGACGTGGACGTGGTCATGGACGCGGAATTGGTCGTGGACGTGGACGTGGACGTGGACGTCGACGTGGACGTGGTTGTGGACGTGGACATGGACGTGAACGTGGAGGTGGACGTGGTCGTGGCCATGGACGTGGACGTAGACGTAGACGTGGACGTGGACGTGGACGTGGACTTGGACATCGACGTAGACGTGGAAGTGGACGTGGACGTGGACGTCGACGTGGACTTGGACGTGGACGTGGACGTAGACGTGGACGTAGACGTGGACGTGTACGTGGTCGTGGACGTGGAAGTGGTCGTGGACGTGGACGTGGTCTTGGACGTGGACGTGGACGTGGTCGTGGACGTGGACGTGGACGTGGACTTGGACGTGGACGTGGGCGTGGATGTGGACGTGGACGTGGACGTGGATGTGGACGTCGACGTGGACGTGGTCGTGGACATGGACGTCGACATAGACGTGGACGTGGTCGTGGACGTGGACGTGGACGTGAACGTGGAGGTGGACGTGGTCGTGGACATGGATGTAGACGTGGAGGTGGACGTGGACGTGGACATGGACTTGGACGTGGACGTAGACGTGGACGTGGACGTGGACGTCAACGTGGACGTGGACTTGGACGTGGACGTGGACGTGGACGTGGACGTAGACGTGGACGTGGACATGGACGTGGTCGTGGACGTGGAAGTGGTCCTGGACATGGACGTGGACGTGGACGTAGAGGTGGACGTAGTCGTGGACGTGGTGGACGTGGACGTGGACGTGGAGGACGTGGACGTGGACGTGGACGTGGACTTGGACCTGGTCGTGAACGTGATGTGGACGTGGACATGGACCTGGACGTGGTCGTAGACGTGGACGTGGACGTGGTCGTGGACGTGGACATGGACGTGGACGTGGTCGTGGACGTGGACGTGGACGTGGACGTGGACGTGAACGTGGACATGGACGTGGACTTGGACGTGGTCGTGGACGTGGACGTAGACGTGGACGTGGACGTAGACGTAGAGGACGTGGACGTGGACGTGGACGTGGTCGTGGACGTGGACGTGGACGTGGAGGTGGACGTGGTCGTGGACGTGGTGGACGTGGACGTGGACCTGGACGTGGAGGACGTGGACGTGGACGTGGAGGACGTGGACGTGGACCTGGACGTGGACGTGGACCTGGACGTGGACGTGGACATGGATGTAGACGTGGACGTGGACGTGGTCGTGGACGTGGACGTGGACGTGGTGGTGGACGTGGACGTGGACTTGGACGTGGTCGTGGACGTGGACGTGGACGTGGACGTGGACGTGGACTTGGACGTGGACGTGGACGTCGACGTAGACGTGGACGTGGTCATGGACGTGGACGTGGACGTGAACGTGGACGTAGACCTGGAAGACGTGGACGTGGACGTGGAGGATGTGGACGTGGATGTGGATGTAGACGTGGACGTGGACCTGTACGTGGACTTGGACGTGGACGTGGACGTTGACGTGGACGTGGACGTGGTCATGGACGTGGAATTGGTCGTGGACGTGGACGTGGACGTGGACGTGGACGTGGACGTCGATGTGGATGTGGTTGTGGACGTGGACATGGACGTGAACGTGGAGGTGGACGTGGTCGTGGCCATGGACGTGGACGTAGACGTAGACGTGGACGTGGACGTGGACGTGGACGTGGACTTGGACATGGACGTAGACGTGGAAGTGGACGTGGACGTGGACGTCGACGTGGACTTGGACGTGGACGTGGACGTAGACGTGGACGTGGACGTGGACGTGTACGTGGTCGTGGACGTGGAAGTGGTTGTGGACATGGACGTGGACGTGGACGTAGAGGTGGACGTAGTCGTGGACGTGGTGGACGTGGACGTGGACGTGGAGGACGTGGACGTGGACGTGGACGTGGACTTGGACGTGGTCGTGGACGTGATGTGGACGTGGACATGGACCTGGACGTGGTCGTGGACGTGGACGTGGTCGTGGACGTGGACGTGGACGTGGACGTGGTCGTGGACGTGGACGTGGACGTGAACGTGGACATGGACGTGGACTTGGACGTGGTCGTGGACGTGGACGTAGACGTGGACGTGGACGTAGACGTAGAGGACGTGGACGTGGACGTGGACGTGGTCGTGGACGTGGACGTGGACGTGGAGGTGGACGTGGTCGTAGACGTGGTGGACGTGGACGTGGACCAGGACGTGGAGGACGTGGACGTGGACGTGGAGGACGTGGACGTGGACCTGGATGTGGACGTGGACCTGGACGTGGACGTGGACATGGATGTAGACGTGGACGTGGACGTGGTCGTGGACGTGGACGTGGACGTGGTGGTGGACGTGGACGTGGACTTGGACGTGGTCGTGGACGTGGACGTGGACGTGGACGTGGACTTGGACGTGGACATGGACGTCGACGTAGACGTGGACGTGGACGTGGTCATGGACGTGGACGTGGACATGGACGTGGACGTGAACATGGACGTAGACCTGGAAGACGTGGACGTGGACGTGGAGGATGTGGACGTGGATGTGGATGTAGACGTGGACGTGGACCTGGACGTGGACTTGGACGTGGACGTTGACGTGGACATGGACGTGGTCATGGACGTGGAATTGGTCGTGGACGTGGACGTGGACGTGGACGTGGACGTCGACGTGAACGTGGTTGTGGACGTGGACATGGACGTGAACGTGGAGGTGGACGTGGTCGTGGCCATGGACGTGGACGTAGACGTGGACGTGGACGTGGACGTGGACGTGGACTTGGACATGGACGTAGACGTGGAAGTGGACGTGGACGTGGACGTCGACGTGGACTTGGACGTGGACGTGGACGTAGACGTGGACGTGGACGTGGACGTGTACGTGGTCGTGGACGTGGAAGTGGTCGTGGACGTGGACGTGGTCTTGGACGTGGACGTGGTCGTGGACGTGGACGTGGACGTGGACTTGGACGTGGACGTGGGCGTGGACGTGGACGTGGACGTGGATGTGGACGTCGACGTGGACGTGGTCGTGGACATGGACGTCGACGTGGACGTGGATGTGGTCGTGGACGTGGACGTGGACGTGAACGTGGAGGTGGACGTGGTCGTGGACGTGGATGTAGACGTGGAGGTGGACGTGGACGTGGACATGGACTTGGACGTGGACGTGGACGTGGACGTGGACGTGGACGTCGACGTCGACGTGGACTTGGACGTGGACGTGGACGTGGACGTAGACGTGGACGTGGACATGGACGTGGTCGTGGACGTGGAAGTGGTCGTGGACATGGACGTGGAAGTGGTCGTGGACGTGGACGTGGACGTGGACGTGGACTTGGACGTGGACGTGGACAACGATGTCGACGTGGACGTGGTCGTGGGCGTGAACGTGGAGGTGAACGTGGTTGTCGACATGGACGTGGATGTAGACGTGGACGTGGACAAGGACGTGGACTTGGACGTAGACGTAGACGTGGACGTGGACGTGGACGTGGACTTGGACGTAGACGTGGACGTGGTCGTGGACATAGACGTGGACGTAGACGTGGACGTGGACGTAGATGTAAACGTGGACATGGACGTGGACGTGAACGTGAACGTGGAGGTGGACGTGGTCGTGGACGAGGTGGACGTGGACGTGGACGTGGACGTGGAGGATGTGGACGTGGACCTGGACGTGGACGTGGACTTGGACGTGGACGTGGACGTGGATATGGACGTGGACGTGGATATGGACATGGAAGTGGTCGTGGACTTGGACGTGGTCGTGGACGTGGACGTGGACGTGGTCGTGGACGTGGACGTGGACGTGGTCGTGGACGTGGACGTGGAAGTGGTCGTGGATGTGGACGTGGACGTGGTCGTGGACGTGGACGTGGACGTGGACGTGGACGTGGACTTGGACGTGGACGTGGACGTGGAGGTGGACGTGGTCGTGAACGTGGAGGTGGACGTGGTCGTGGACGTGGACGTCGACTTGGAAGACGTGGACGTGGACGTGGAGGATGTGGACGTGGACGTGGTAGTGGACGTGGACGTGGACCTGGACGTGGACGTGGACTTGGACGTGGACGTGGACGTGGACATGGACGTGGACGTGGTCGTGGACGTGGAAGTGGTTGTGGACGTGGACGTGGTCGTGGACGTGGACGTGGACTTGGACGTGGACGTGCACGTGGACGTCGTCGTGGACGTGGACGTGGACGTGGTCGTGGACGTGGACGTGGACGTGGACCTGGACGTGGACGTAGTCATGGACGTGGACGTGGACGTGGTTGTGGACGTGGACGTGGTCGTGGACGTGGATGTGGACATCGTGGACGTGGTCGTGGACGTGGACGTGGACGTGGACATGAACGTGGACGTGATCGTGGACGTGGTTGTGGACGTGGTCGTGGACGTGAACTTGAACGTGGACGTGGACGTGGACGGGGTGGACGTGAACGTGGACGTGGACGTGGACGTGGACATGGATGTGGACATGGTCATGGACGTGGACGTGGACGTGGACGTGGTCGTGGACGTGGACGTGGACGTGGTCGTGGACGTGGACGTGGACGTGGATGTGAACTTGGAGGTGGAAGACGTGGACGTGGAGGTGTACGTGGACGTGGAGGTGGAGGACGTGGACGTGGACGTGTACGTGGACTTGGACATGGCATGGACGTGGACGTGGTCGTGGACATGGACGTGGACGTGGACGTGGACTTGGACGTGGACGTGGACGTAGACGTGGACGCGGACGTGGACGTGTACGTGGACGTGGACGTGTATGTGGACGTGGACGTGGACGTGGACATGGACGTGGACCTGGACGTGGACGTGGACATGGACGTGGACGTTGACGTGGACGTGGACCTGGACGTGGACCTGGACGTGGACGTGGACGTGGACGTGGTCGTGGACGTGGACGTGGACGTGGACGTGGTCGTGGACGTGGACGTGGTCGTGGACGTGGACGTGGACGTGGACCTGGACCCGGACCTGGACCTGGACATGGACATGGACGTGGACATGGACGTGGAGGACGTGGAGGTGGACGTGGAGGACGTGGACGTGGACGTGCACGTGGACGTTGACGTGGTCGTGGACGTGGACGTGGACGTGGATGTGGACGTGGTCGTGGACGTGGACGTGGACGTGGTCGTGGACATGGACGTGGACGTAGACGTGGTCGTGGACGTGGACTTGGACGTGGACGTGGACGTGGACGTGGAAGTAGATGTGGACGGGGTCGTGGACGTGGACGTGGAGGTGGACGTGGAGGTGGACGTGGTCATGGACGTGGTGGATGTGGATGTGGACGTGGATGTGGACGTGGACCTGGAAGTGGACGTGGACGTGGACGCGGTCGTGGACGTGGACTTGGTCGTGGACGTGTACGTGGACGTGGTCGTGGACGTGGACGTGGACGTGGTCGTGGACGTGGACGTGGACGTTGTCGTGGACGTGGACGTGGACCTGGACGTGGACGTGGACGTGGACGTGATCGTGGACGTGGACGTGGACGTGATCGTGGACGTGGACGTGGTCCTGGACGTGGACTTGGACGTGGTGGTGGATGTGGACGTGGACGTGGTGGACGTGGATGTGGAGTTGGACGTTGACGTGGACGTGGACGTGGTTGTGGACGTCGACGTGGACGTGGAGGTGGACGTGGTCGTGGACGTGGTGGACGTGGACGTGGATCTGGACATGGACGTAGACGTGGACGTGGACGTGGACTTGGATGAGGTTGTGGACGTGGACATGGACGTGGAGGTGGATGTGGTCGTGGACGTGGACGTGGACGTGAACGTGGACGTGGACTTGGACCTGGACGTGGACGTGGACTTGGACGTGGACGTAGACGGACATGGACGTGGACGTGGACCTGGTCCTGGACATGGACTTGGACGTGAACCTAGACGTGGACGTGGACTTGGACGTGGACGTGGACTTGGATGTGGACGTGTACGTGGACGTGGACGTGGAGGTGGACGTGGTCGTGGACGTGGTTGACATGGACGTGGACGTGGTCGTGGACGTGGACGTGGATCTGGACGTGGACGTGGACGTGGACTTGTATGTGGACGTGGACGTGGACGTGGACGTGGATGTGGTCGTGTATGTGGACGTGGACGTGGACGTGAACGTGGACGTGGACGTGGACCTGGACCTGGACGTGGACGTGGACTTGGACGTGGACGTGGACAGACGTGGACGTGGACCTGGACCTGGACTTGGACCAGGACGTAAACCTGGACGTGGACGTGGACTTGGACGTGGACTTAGACTTGGACGTGGACGTGGACGTGGACGTGGACGTGGTCGTGGACGTGGACGTGGACGTGGACGTGGTCGTGGACGTGGACGTGGAGGTGGACGTGGTCGTGGACGTGGTGGACGTGGACCTGGACGTGGACGTGGACGTGAGGACGTGGACGTGGACGTGGAGGACGTGGACGTGGACGTGGACTTGGACGTGGTCGTGGAGGTGGACGTGGACGTGGACGTGGAGGTGGACGTGGTCGTGGACGTGGTGGACGTGGACGTGGACGTGGATGTAAACGTGGACGTGGACGTAGACGTGGATCTGGACGTGGACTTGGACGTGGACGTGGACGTGGACGTGGACTTGGATGTGGACGTGGACGTGGACGTGGACGTGGTCGTGGACATAGACGTGGATGTGGACGTGGACGTGGACGTGAACGTGGACGTGGACCTGGAGCTGGACGTGGACTTGGATGTGGACTTGGACGGACGTGGACCTGGACCTGGACCTGGACCTGGACGTGGACCTGGACGTGAACCTAGACATGGACATGGACTTGGACGTGAACCTGCACTTGGGCGTGGACGTGGACGTGGACGTGGTTGTGGACGTGGACGTAGATGTGGACGTAGACGAGGACGTGGACGAGAACGTGGACGTGGATGTGGACGTGGACATGGAGGTGGATGTGGTCGTGGACGTGGTGGACGTGGACGTGGACGTAGACGTGGACGTGGAGGACGTGGACGTGGACGTGGAGGACGTGGACGTGGACGTGGACTTGGACGTGGTCATGGACGTGGACGTGGACGTGGACATGGACGTGGATGTGGAGGACGTGGACGTGGACGTGGACGTGGACTTGGATGTGAACGTGGACGTGGACGTGGACATGGACGTGGTCGTGGACGTGGACGTGGTCGTGGACGTGGACGTGGACGTGGTCGTGGACGTGGTCGTGGACGTGGTCGTGGACGTGGACGTGGTCGTGGACGTGGGCGTGGTCGTGGTCGTGGATGAAGTCGTGGTCGTGGACGTGGACGTAGACGTGGACGTGGACGTGGACGTAGACTTGGACGTGGACGTGGACGTCGACGTGGATGTGGACGTGGATGTGGTCGTGGACGTGGACGTGGACGTGGACCTGGACCTGGACGTGGACATGGACTTGGACGTGGACGTGGACGGACGTGGATGTGGATGTGGACCTGGACCTAGACGTGGACCAGGACGTGAACCTGGACGTGGACGTGGACTTGGACGTGGACGTGGACTTGGACGTGGACGTGGACGTGGACTTGGAAGTGGTCGTGGACGTGGTGGAGGTGGACGTGGACGTGGACGTGAACGTGGATCTGGACGTGGACGTGGACGTGGACTTGGATGTGGACGTGGACATGGACGTGGACGTGGACGTGGATGTGGTCGTGGACGTGGATGTGGACGTGGACGTGGACGTGAACGTGGACGTAGACGTGGACCTGGACCTGGACGTGGACGTGGACTTGGACGTGGACGTGGACAGACGTAGACGTGGACTCGGACCTGGACCTGGACGTGGATCTGGACGTGAACCTGGACGTGGACGTCGACTTGGACGTGGATGTGGACTTCGACGTGGACGTGGACGTGGACGTCGTCGTGGACGTGGAGTGGACGTAGACGTGGACGTAGACGTGGACGTGGTCGTGGACGTGGATGTGGACGTGGATGTGGACGTGGAGGTGGACGTGGTCGTGGATGTGGTGGACGTGGATGTGGACGTGGACGTGGATGTGGACATGGACGTGGACGTGGAGAACGTGGACGTGGACGTGGAGGACGTGGACGTGGACGTGGACTTGGACGTGGAAGTGATCGTGGACGTGGTGGACGAGGACGTGGACGTGGACGTGGATCTGGACGTGGACGTGGACGTGGACTTGGATGTGGACGTGGACGTGGACGTGGATGTGGTCGTGGACGTGGACGTGGACGTGGACGTGGACGTGAACGTGGATGTGGACGTGGACGTGGACTTGGACGTGGACGTGGACCTGGACCTGGACGTGGAACTGGACGTGAACCTGGACGTGGACGTGGACTTGGACGTGGACGTGGATTTGGACGTGGACTTGGACGTGGACGTGGTCGTGGACGTGGACGTGGACGTAAATGTGGACGTGGACGTGGACGTGGTCGTGGACGTGGACGTGGACGTGGACGTGAACGTGGTCGTGGACGTGGACGTGGTCGTAGACGTGGTCGTGGACGTGGACGTGGATGTAGACGTGGACGTGGACGTGGTCGTGGACGTGGACGTGGACGTGGTCGTGGACGTGGACGTGGACATGGACATGGAAGTGGACGTGGACGTGGACTTGGACGTGGTCGTAGACGTGGACGTAGACGTGGACGTGGACGTAGACGTAGAATACGTGGACGTAGACGTGGACGTTGACGTGGTCGTGAACGTGGACGTGGACGTGGAGGTGGACGTGGAAGTGGTCATGGACGTGGACGTGGACGTGGAAGTGGAAGTGGAAGTGGTCATGGACGTGGACGTGGACGTGGTCGTGGACGTGGACGTGGACGTGGACGTGGACTTGGACGTGGACGTGGACGTGGACGTGGGCGTGGACCTTGACGTGAACTTGGACGTGGACGTGGACGTCGACGTGGACGTGGACGTGGACGTGGTCGTGGACGTGGACGTGGACGTGAACGTGGAGGTGGACGTGGTCGTGGACATGGACGTGGACGTAGTCGTGGACGTGGACGTGGACTTGGACGTGGACGTGGACGTGGAAGTGGACGTGGACGTGGACGTGGACTTGGACGTGGACGTGGACGTGGACGTTGACGTGGTCGTGGACGTGGAAGTGGTCGTGGACGTGGACGTGGAAGTGGACTTGGACGTGGACGTGGACGTGGGCGTGGACGTGGACGTGGACGTGGACGTGGACGTGGACGTGGTCGTGGACGTGGACGTGGACGTGAACGTGGAGGTGGACGTGGTCGTCGACGTGGACGTAGACGTGGAGGTGGACGTGGACGTGGACATGGACTTGGACGTGGATGTAGACGTGGACGTGGACGTGGACGTAGACGTGGAAGTGGACGTGATCGTGGACGTGGAAGTGGTCGTGGACGTGGACGTGGAAGTGGTCGTGGACGTGGAAGTGGACGTGATCGTGGACGTGGACGTGGAAGTGGACGTGGACGTGGACGTGGACGTGGACTTGGACGTGGAGGTGGATGTCGACGTCGACGTGGACGTGGACGTGGACGTGGACGTGGTCGTGGACGTGGAGATGGACGTGGACGTGGACGTGAACGTGGAGGTGAACGTGGTCGTCGACATGGAAGTGGATGTAGACGTGGACGTGGACGTGGACGTGGACTTGGACGTGGACGTAGACGTGGACGTGGACGTGGACGTGGACTTGGACGTGGACGTGGACGTGGTCGTGGACATGGACGTGGACGTAGACGTGGACGTGGACGTGGACGTGGACTTGGACGTGGATGTGGAAATCGACGTGGACGTGGACTTTGACGAAGACATGGTCGTGGACGTGGACGTGCACGTGAACGTGAACGTGGAGGTGGACGTGGTTGTGGACGTGGTGGACGTGGACGTGGACGTGGACGTAGACTTGGAAGACGTGGACGTGGACGTGGAGGATGTGGACGTGGACGTGGATGTGGACGTGGACGTGGAGTTGGACGTGGACGTGGACTTGGACGTGGACGTGGACATGGACGTGGACGTGGTCATGGACGTGGACGTGGACGTGGACATGGACGTGGACGTGGACGTGGTCGTGGACGTGGACGTGGACGTGGTCGTGGACGTGGATGTGGACGTGGACGTGGACCTGGACCTGGACCCGGACCTGGACGTGGACGTGGACATGGACGTGGACATGGAGGTGGAATAGAGGTGGACGTGGACGTGGACATGGACGTGGACGTGGACGTAAACGTGGACATGGACGTAGACGTGGACGTGGACTTGGACGTGGACGTGGACATGGACGTGGACGTGGACGTGGACGTGGAGGAGGACATGGAGGTGGACGTGGAGGACGTGGACGTGGACGTGGTCGTGGACGTAGACGTGGACGTGGACGTGGACGTGGATGTGGACATGGACGTGGTCGTGGACGTGGACGTGGATGTGTACGTGGCGTGGTCGTGGACGTGGACGTGGACGTGGACGTGAACATGGACGTGGACGTGGACGTGGACGTGGACGAGGACGTGGACCTGGACGTGGACCTGGACGTGGACGTGGACGTGGTCGTGGACGTGGACGTGGTCGTGGACGTGGACGTGGACGTGGTGGTGGACATGGACGTGGACATGGTGGTGGACGTGGACGTGGACGAAGACGTGGATGTGGACATGGACGTGGACGTGGACATGGACGTGGAGGAGGTGGAGATGGACGTGGAGGACGTGGACGTGGACGTGGTCGTGGACTTGGACGTGGACGTGGTCGTGGACGTGGACGTGGACGTGGTCGTGGACGAAGACGTGGTCGTGGACGTGTACGTGGACGTGGTTGTGGACGTGGACGTGGTTGTGGACGTGTACGTGGACGTGGTCGTGGACGTGGACGTGGACGTGGACCTAAACGTAGACGTGGACGTGGACGTAGACGTGGTCGTGGACGTGGACGTGGACCTGGACGTGGACGTGGACTTGGACTTGGACGTGGACGTGGACTTGGACGTGGACGTGTACATGGACGTGGACGTGGACGTGGTCGTGGTCGTGGACGCGGACATCGATGTGGTCGTGGACGCGGATGTGGACGTGGTCGTGGACGTAGACGCGGACGTGGACGTGGACGTGGACCTGGACGTGGACGTGGTCGTGGACGTGGACGTGGTCGTCGACCTGGACGTGGACGTGGACGTGGACGTGGACGTGGACTTGGAGTTGGACGTGGACGTGGACGTGGACTTGGACTTGGACGTGGTCGTAGACGTGGACGTGGACGTGGACGTGGATGTGGTCGTGGACGTGGACGTGGACGTGGTCATAGACATGGACGTGGACCTGGACGTGGTCGTGGACGTGGACGTGGACGTGGACATGGACTTGGACGTAAATGTGGACGTGGACGTGGACTTGGACGTGGACGTGGACGTGGACGTGGACCTGGACGTGGACATGGACTTGGACGTGGACGTGGACGTGGACGTGTACGTGGACGTGGTCGTGGACGTGGTCGTTGACGTGGACGTGGACCTAGACGTGGACCTGGACGTGGACGTGGACATGGACATGGACGTGGTCGTGAACGTGGACGTGGTCGTGGACGTGGACGTGGACCTGGACGTGGACGTGGACGTGGACGTGGACGTGGACTTGGACGTGGACGTGGACGTGGACGTGGACTTGGACATGGACGTGGACATGGACGTGGGCGTGGACGTGGACGTGGACGTGGACGTGGTCGTGGACGTGGACGAGGACGTGGACATGGACATGGACGTGGACGTGGACGTGGACGTGGACGTGGACGTGGTCGTGGAAATGGACGTGGACGTGGACGTGGTCTTGGACGTGGACGTGGACGTGGAGGTGGACGTGGACGTGGATGTGGAGGTGGATGTGGTCGTGGACGTGGTCATGGACGTGGACGTGGACGTGGACGTGGACGTGGACCTAGACGTGGACGTGGACCTGGACGTGGACGTGGACGGACGTGGACGTGGATGTGGACATGGACCTGGACCTGGACCTAGACGTGGACCAGGACGTGAACCTGGACGTGGACGTGGACTTGGACGTGGACGTGGACTTGGACGTGGACGTGGACGTGGATTTGGACGAGGACGTGGGGGTGGACGTGGTCGTGGACGTGGTGGACGTGGAGGTGGACGTGGACGTGGATGTGAACGTGGATCTGGACGTGGACGTGGACTTGGATGTGGACATGGACATCGACGTGGACGTGGACGTGGACGTAGATGTGGTTGTGGACGTGGATGTGGACGTGGACGTGGACGTGAACGTGGACGTAGACATGGACCTGGACCTGGACGTGGACGTGGACTTGGACGTGGACGTGGACAGACGTGGACGTGGACGTGGACGTGGACCTGGACCTGGACGTGGACGTGGACGTGGACGTGGAGGATGTGGACGTGGATGTGGATGTAGACGTGGACGTGGACCTGTACGTGGACTTGGACGTGGACGTGGACGTTGACGTGGACGTGGACGTGGTCATGGACGTGGAATTGGTCGTGGACGTGGACGTGGACGTGGACGTGGACGTCGATGTGGATGTGGTTGTGGACGTGGACATGGACGTGAACGTGGAGGTGGACGTGGTCGTGGCCATGGACGTGGACGTAGACGTAGACGTGGACGTGGACGTGGACGTGGACTTGGACATGGACGTAGACGTGGAAGTGGACGTGGACGTGGACGTCGACGTGGACTTGGACGTGGACGTGGACGTAGACGTGGACGTGGACGTGGACGTGTACGTGGTCGTGGACGTGGAAGTGGTTGTGGACATGGACGTGGACGTGGACGTAGAGGTGGACGTAGTCGTGGACGTGGTGGACGTGGACGTGGACGTGGAGGACGTGGACGTGGACGTGGACGTGGACTTGGACGTGGTCGTGGACGTGATGTGGACGTGGACATGGACCTGGACGTGGTCGTGGACGTGGACGTGGACGTGGTCGTGGACGTGGACGTGGACGTGGACGTGGTCGTGGACGTGGACGTGGACGTGAACGTGGACATGGACGTGGACTTGGACGTGGTCGTGGACGTGGACGTAGACGTGGACGTGGACGTAGACGTAGAGGACGTGGACGTGGACGTGGACGTGGTCGTGGACGTGGACGTGGACGTGGAGGTGGACGTGGTCGTAGACGTGGTGGACGTGGACGTGGACCAGGACGTGGAGGACGTGGACGTGGACGTGGAGGACGTGGACGTGGACCTGGACGTGGACGTGGACCTGGACGTGGACGTGGACATGGATGTAGACGTGGACGTGGACGTGGTCGTGGACGTGGACGTGGACGTGGTGGTGGACGTGGACGTGGACTTGGACGTGGTCGTGGACGTGGACGTGGACGTGGACGTGGACTTGGACGTGGACATGGACGTCGACGTAGACGTGGACGTGGACGTGGTCATGGACGTGGACGTGGACGTGGACGTGAACATGGACGTAGACCTGGAAGACGTGGACGTGGACGTGGAGGATGTGGACGTGGATGTGGATGTAGACGTGGACGTGGACCTGGACGTGGACTTGGACGTGGACGTTGACGTGGACATGGACGTGGTCATGGACGTGGAATTGGTCGTGGACGTGGACGTGGACGTGGACGTGGACGTCGACGTGAACGTGGTTGTGGACGTGGACATGGACGTGAACGTGGAGGTGGACGTGGTCGTGGCCATGGACGTGGACGTAGACGTGGACGTGGACGTGGACGTGGACGTGGACTTGGACATGGACGTAGACGTGGAAGTGGACGTGGACGTCGACGTCGACGTGGACTTGGACGTGGACGTGGACGTAGACGTGGACGTGGACGTGTACGTGGTCGTGGACGTGGAAGTGGTCGTGGACGTGGACGTGGTCTTGGACGTGGACGTGGTCGTGGACGTGGACGTGGACGTGGACTTGGACGTGGACGTGGGCGTGGACGTGGACGTGGACGTGGACGTGGATGTGGACGTCGACGTGGACGTGGTCGTGGACATGGACGTCGACGTGGACGTGGATGTGGTCGTGGACGTGGACGTGGACGTGAACGTGGAGGTGGACGTGGTCGTGGACGTGGATGTAGACGTGGAGGTGGACGTGGACGTGGACATGGACTTGGACGTGGACGTGGACGTGGACGTGGACGTCGACGTCGACGTGGACTTGGACGTGGACGTGGACGTGGACGTAGACGTGGACGTGGACATGGACGTGGTCGTGGACGTGGAAGTGGTCGTGGACATGGACGTGGAAGTGGTCGTGGACGTGGACGTGGACGTGGACGTGGACTTGGACGTGGACGTGGACAACGATGTCGACGTGGACGTGGTCGTGGGCGTGAACGTGGAGGTGAACGTGGTTGTCGACATGGACGTGGATGTAGACGTGGACGTGGACGTGGACGTGGACTTGGACGTAGACGTAGACGTGGACGTGGACGTGGACGTGGACGTGGACTTGGACGTAGACGTGGACGTGGTCGTGGACATGGACGTGGACGTAGACGTGGACGTGGACGTAGATGTAAACGTGGACATGGACGTGGACGTGAACGTGAACGTGGAGGTGGACGTGGTCGTGGACGAGGTGGACGTGGACGTGGACGTGGACGTGGAGGATGTGGACGTGGACGTGGACCTGGACGTGGACGTGGACTTGGACGTGGACGTGGACGTGGATATGGACGTGGACGTGGATATGGACATGGAAGTGGTCGTGGACTTGGACGTGGTCGTGGACGTGGACGTGGACGTGGTCGTGGACGTGGACGTGGACGTGGTCGTGGACGTGGACGTGGAAGTGGTCGTGGATGTGGACGTGGACGTGGTCGTGGACGTGGACGTGGACGTGGACGTGGACGTGGACTTGGACGTGGACGTGGACGTGGAGGTGGACGTGGTCGTGAACGTGGAGGTGGACGTGGTCGTGGACGTGGACGTCGACTTGGAAGACGTGGACGTGGACGTGGAGGATGTGGACGTGGACGTGGTAGTGGACGTGGACGTGGACCTGGACGTGGACGTGGACTTGGACGTGGACGTGGACGTGGACATGGACGTGGACGTGGTCGTGGACGTGGAAGTGGTTGTGGACGTGGACGTGGTCGTGGACGTGGACGTGGACTTGGACGTGGACGTGCACGTGGACGTGGTCGTGGACGTGGACGTGGACGTGGTCGTGGACGTGGACGTGGACGTGGACCTGGACGTGGACGTAGTCATGGACGTGGACGTGGACGTGGTTGTGGACGTGGACGTGGTCGTGGACGTGGATGTGGACATCGTGGACGTGGTCGTGGACGTGGACGTGGACGTGGACATGAACGTGGACGTGATCGTGGACGTGGTTGTGGACGTGGTCGTGGACGTGAACTTGAACGTGGACGTGGACGTGGACGGGGTGGACGTGAACGTGGACGTGGACGTGGACGTGGACATGGATGTGGACATGGTCATGGACGTGGACGTGGACGTGGACGTGGTCGTGGACGTGGACGTGGACGTGGTCGTGGACGTGGACGTGGACGTGGACGTGGACTTGGAGGTGGAAGACGTGGACGTGGAGGTGTACGTGGACGTGGAGGTGGAGGACGTGGACGTGGACGTGTACGTGGACTTGGACATGGCATGGACGTGGACGTGGTCGTGGACATGGACGTGGACGTGGACGTGGACTTGGACGTGGACGTGGACGTAGACGTGGACGCGGACGTGGACGTGTACGTGGACGTGGACGTGTATGTGGACGTGGACGTGGACGTGGACATGGACGTGGACCTGGACGTGGACGTGGACATGGACGTGGACGTTGACGTGGACGTGGACCTGGACGTGGACCTGGACGTGGACGTGGACGTGGTCGTGGACGTGGACATGGATGTGGACATGGTCATAGACGTGGACGTGGACGTGGACGTGGTCGTGGACGTGGACGTGGACGTGGTCGTGGACGTGGACGTGGACGTGGACGTGGACTTGGAGGTGGAAGACGTGGACGTGGAGGTGTACGTGGACGTGGAGGTGGAGGACGTGGACGTGGACGTGTACGTGGACTTGGACATGGCATGGACGTGGACGTGGTCGTGGACATGGACGTGGACGTGGACGTGGACTTGGACGTGGACGTGGACGTAGACGTGGACGCGGACGTGGACGTGTACGTGGACGTGGACGTGTATGTGGACGTGGACGTGGACGTGGACATGGACGTGGACCTGGACGTGGACGTGGACATGGACGTGGACGTTGACGTGGACGTGGACCTGGACGTGGACCTGGACGTGGACGTGGACGTGGACGTGGTCGTGGACGTGGACGTGGACGTGGACGTGGTCGTGGACGTGGACGTGGTCGTGGACGTGGACGTGGACGTGGACCTGGACCCGGACCTGGACCTGGACATGGACATGGACGTGGACATGGACGTGGAGGACGTGGAGGTGGACGTGGAGGACGTGGACGTGGACGTGCACGTGGACGTTGACGTGGTCGTGGACGTGGACGTGGACGTGGATGTGGACGTGGTCGTGGACGTGGACGTGGACGTGGTCGTGGACATGGACGTGGACGTAGACGTGGTCGTGGACGTGGACTTGGACGTGGACGTGGACGTGGACGTGGAAGTAGATGTGGACGGGGTCGTGGACGTGGACGTGGAGGTGGACGTGGAGGTGGACGTGGTCATGGACGTGGTGGATGTGGATGTGGACGTGGATGTGGACGTGGACCTGGAAGTGGACGTGGACGTGGACGCGGTCGTGGACGTGGACTTGGTCGTGGACGTGTACGTGGACGTGGTCGTGGACGTGGACGTGGACGTGGTCGTGGACGTGGACGTGAACGTTGTCGTGGACGTGGACGTGGACCTGGACGTGGACGTGGACGTGGACGTGATCGTGGACGTGGACGTGGACGTGATCGTGGACGTGGACGTGGTCGTGGACGTGGACTTGGACGTGGTGGTGGATGTGGACGTGGACGTGGTGGACGTGGATGTGGAGTTGGACGTTGACGTGGACGTGGACGTGGTTGTGGACGTCGACGTGGACGTGGAGGTGGACGTGGTCGTGGACGTGGTGGACGTGGACGTGGATCTGGACATGGACGTAGACGTGGACGTGGACGTGGACTTGGATGAGGTTGTGGACGTGGACATGGACGTGGAGGTGGATGTGGTCGTGGACGTGGACGTGGACGTGAACGTGGACGTGGACTTGGACCTGGACGTGGACGTGGACTTGGACGTGGACGTAGACGGACATGGACGTGGACGTGGACCTGGTCCTGGACATGGACTTGGACGTGAACCTAGACGTGGACGTGGACTTGGACGTGGACGTGGACTTGGATGTGGACGTGTACGTGGACGTGGACGTGGAGGTGGACGTGGTCGTGGACGTGGTTGACATGGACGTGGACGTGGTCGTGGACGTGGACGTGGATCTGGACGTGGACGTGGACGTGGACTTGTATGTGGACGTGGACGTGGACGTGGACGTGGATGTGGTCGTGTATGTGGACGTGGACGTGGACGTGAACGTGGACGTGGACGTGGACCTGGACCTGGACGTGGACGTGGACTTGGACGTGGACGTGGACAGACGTGGACGTGGACCTGGACCTGGACTTGGACCAGGACGTAAACCTGGACGTGGACGTGGACTTGGACGTGGACTTAGACTTGGACGTGGACGTGGACGTGGACGTGGACGTGGTCGTGGACGTGGACGTGGACGTGGACGTGGTCGTGGACGTGGACGTGGAGGTGGACGTGGTCGTGGACGTGGTGGACGTGGACCTGGACGTGGACGTGGACGTGAGGACGTGGACGTGGACGTGGAGGACGTGGACGTGGACGTGGACTTGGACGTGGACGTGGACGTGGAGGTGGACGTGGTCGTGGACGTGGACGTGGATGTAAACGTGGACGTGGACGTAGACGTGGATCTGGACGTGGACTTGGACGTGGACGTGGACGTGGACGTGGACTTGGATGTGGACGTGGACGTGGACGTGGACGTGGTCGTGGACATAGACGTGGATGTGGACGTGGACGTGGACGTGAACGTGGACGTGGACCTGGAGCTGGACGTGGACTTGGATGTGGACTTGGACGGACGTGGACCTGGACCTGGACCTGGACCTGGACGTGGACCTGGACGTGAACCTAGACATGGACATGGACTTGGACGTGAACCTGCACTTGGGCGTGGACGTGGACGTGGACGTGGTTGTGGACGTGGACGTAGATGTGGACGTAGACGAGGACGTGGACGAGAACGTGGACGTGGATGTGGACGTGGACATGGAGGTGGATGTGGTCGTGGACGTGGTGGACGTGGACGTGGACGTAGACGTGAACGTGGAGGACGTGGACGTGGACGTGGAGGACGTGGACGTGGACGTGGACGTGGACTTGGACGTGGTCATGGACGTGGACGTGGACGTGGACATGGACGTGGATGTGGAGGACGTGGACGTGGACGTGGACGTGGACTTGGATGTGAACGTGGACGTGGACGTGGACATGGACGTGGTCGTGGACGTGGACGTGGTCGTGGACGTGGACGTGGACGTGGTCGTGGACGTGGTCGTGGACGTGGTCGTGGACGTGGACGTGGTCGTGGACGTGGGCGTGGTCGTGGTCGTGGATGAAGTCGTGGTCGTGGACGTGGACGTAGACGTGGACGTGGACGTGGACGTAGACTTGGACGTGGACGTGGACGTCGACGTGGATGTGGACGTGGATGTGGTCGTGGACGTGGACGTGGACGTGGACCTGGACCTGGACGTGGACATGGACTTGGACGTGGACGTGGACGGACGTGGATGTGGATGTGGACCTGGACCTAGACGTGGACCAGGACGTGAACCTGGACGTGGACGTGGACTTGGACGTGGACGTGGACTTGGACGTGGACGTGGACGTGGACTTGGACGTGGACGTGGGGGTGGAAGTGGTCGTGGACGTGGTGGACGTGGACGTGGACGTGGACGTGAACGTGGATCTGGACGTGGACGTGGACGTGGACTTGGATGTGGACGTGGACATGGACGTGGACGTGGACGTGGATGTGGTCGTGGACGTGGATGTGGACGTGGACGTGGACGTGAACGTGGACGTAGACGTGGACCTGGACCTGGACGTGGACGTGGACTTGGACGTGGACGTGGACAGACGTAGACGTGGACTCGGACCTCGACCTGGACGTGGATCTGGACGTGAACCTGGACGTGGACGTCGACTTGGACGTGGATGTGGACTTCGACGTGGACGTGGACGTGGACGTCGTCGTGGACGTGGAGTGGACGTAGACGTGGACGTAGACGTGGACGTGGTCGTGGACGTGGACGTGGATGTGGACGTGGAGGTGGACGTGGTCGTGGATGTGGTGGACGTGGATGTGGACGTGGACGTGGATGTGGACATGGACGTGGACGTGGAGAACGTGGACGTGGACGTGGAGGACGTGGACGTGGACGTGGACTTGGACATGGAAGTGATCGTGGACGTGGTGGACGAGGACGTGGACGTGGACGTGGATCTGGACGTGGACGTGGACGTGGACTTGGATGTGGACGTGGACGTGGACGTGGATGTGGTCGTGGACGTGGACGTGGACGTGGACGTGGACGTGAACGTGGATGTGGACGTGGACGTGGACTTGGACGTGGACGTGGACCTGGACCTGGACGTGGAACTGGACGTGAACCTGGACGTGGACGTGGACTTGGACGTGGACGTGGATTTGGACGTGGACTTGGACGTGGACGTGGTCGTGGACGTGGACGTGGACGTAAATGTGGACGTGGACGTGGACGTGGTCGTGGACGTGGACGTGGACGTGAACGTGGTCGTGGACGTGGACGTGGTCGTAGACGTGGTCGTGGACGTGGACGTGGATGTAGACGTGGACGTGGTCGTGGACGTGGACGTGGACGTGGTCGTGGACGTGGACGTGGACATGGACATGGAAGTGGACGTGGACGTGGACGTGGACTTGGACGTGGTCGTAGACGTGGACGTAGACGTGGACGTGGACGTAGACGTAGAGGACGTGGACGTAGACGTGGACGTTGACGTGGTCGTGAACGTGGACGTGGACGTGGAGGTGGACGTGGAAGTGGTCATGGACGTGGACGTGGACGTGGAAGTGGAAGTGGAAGTGGTCATGGACGTGGACGTGGACGTGGTCGTGGACGTGGACGTGGACGTGGACGTGGACTTGGACGTGGACGTGGACGTGGACGTGGGCGTGGACCTTGACGTGAACTTGGACGTGGACGTGGACGTCGACGTGGACGTGGACGTGGTCGTGGACGTGGACGTGGACGTGAACGTGGAGGTGGACGTGGTCGTGGACATGGACGTGGACGTAGTCGTGGACGTGGACGTGGACTTGGACGTGGACGTGGACGTGGAAGTGGACGTGGACGTGGACGTGGACTTGGACGTGGACGTGGACGTGGACGTTGACGTGGTCGTGGACGTGGAAGTGGTCGTGGACGTGGACGTGGAAGTGGACTTGGACGTGGACGTGGACGTGGGCGTGGACGTGGACGTGGACGTGGACGTGGACGTGGACGTGGTCGTGGACGTGGACGTGGACGTGGACGTGAACGTGGAGGTGGACGTGGTCGTCGACGTGGACGTAGACGTGGAGGTGGACGTGGACGTGGACATGGACTTGGACGTGGATGTAGACGTGGACGTGGACGTGGACGTAGACGTGGAAGTGGACGTGATCGTGGACGTGGAAGTGGTCGTGGACGTGGACGTGGAAGTGGTCGTGGACGTGGAAGTGGACGTGATCGTGGACGTGGACGTGGAAGTGGACGTGGACGTGGACGTGGACGTGGACTTGGACGTGGAGGTGGATGTCGACGTCGACGTGGACGTGGACGTGGACGTGGACGTGGTCGTGGACGTGGAGATGGACGTGGACGTGGACGTGAACGTGGAGGTGAACGTGGTCGTCGACATGGAAGTGGATGTAGACGTGGACGTGGACGTGGACGTGGACTTGGACGTGGACGTAGACGTGGACGTGGACGTGGACGTGGACTTGGACGTGGACGTGGACGTGGTCGTGGACATGGACGTGGACGTAGACGTGGACGTGGACGTGGACGTGGACTTGGACGTGGATGTGGAAATCGACGTGGACGTGGACTTTGACGAAGACATGGTCGTGGACGTGGACGTGCACGTGAACGTGAACGTGGAGGTGGACGTGGTTGTGGACGTGGTGGACGTGGACGTGGACGTGGACGTAGACTTGGAAGACGTGGACGTGGACGTGGAGGATGTGGACGTGGACGTGGATGTGGACGTGGACGTGGAGTTGGACGTGGACGTGGACTTGGACGTGGACGTGGACATGGACGTGGACGTGGTCATGGACGTGGACGTGGACGTGGACATGGACGTGGACGTGGACGTGGTCGTGGACGTGGACGTGGACGTGGTCGTGGACGTGGATGTGGACGTGGACGTGGACCTGGACCTGGACCCGGACCTGGACGTGGACGTGGACATGGACGTGGACATGGAGGTGGAATGGAGGTGGACGTGGACGTGGACATGGACGTGGACGTGGACGTAAACGTGGACATGGACGTAGACGTGGACGTGGACTTGGACGTGGACGTGGACGTGGACATGGACGTGGACATGGAGGTGGAATGGAGGTGGACGTGGACGTGGACATGGACGTGGACGTGGACGTAAACGTGGACATGGACGTAGACGTGGACGTGGACTTGGACGTGGACGTGGACATGGACGTGGACGTGGACGTGGACGTGGAGGAGGACATGGAGGTGGACGTGGAGGACGTGGACGTGGACGTGGTCGTGGACGTAGACGTGGATGTGGATGTGGACCTGGACCTAGACGTGGACCAGGACGTGAACCTGGACGTGGACGTGGACTTGGACGTGGACGTGGACTTGGACGTGGACGTGGACGTGGACTTGGACGTGGACGTGGGGGTGGAAGTGGTCGTGGACGTGGTGGACGTGGACGTGGACGTGGACGTGAACGTGGATCTGGACGTGGACGTGGACGTGGACTTGGATGTGGACGTGGACATGGACGTGGACGTGGACGTGGATGTGGTCGTGGACGTGGATGTGGACGTGGACGTGGACGTGAACGTGGACGTAGACGTGGACCTGGACCTGGACGTGGACGTGGACTTGGACGTGGACGTGGACAGACGTAGACGTGGACTCGGACCTCGACCTGGACGTGGATCTGGACGTGAACCTGGACGTGGACGTCGACTTGGACGTGGATGTGGACTTCGACGTGGACGTGGACGTGGACGTCGTCGTGGACGTGGAGTGGACGTAGACGTGGACGTAGACGTGGACGTGGTCGTGGACGTGGACGTGGATGTGGACGTGGAGGTGGACGTGGTCGTGGATGTGGTGGACGTGGATGTGGACGTGGACGTGGATGTGGACATGGACGTGGACGTGGAGAACGTGGACGTGGACGTGGAGGACGTGGACGTGGACGTGGACTTGGACATGGAAGTGATCGTGGACGTGGTGGACGAGGACGTGGACGTGGACGTGGATCTGGACGTGGACGTGGACGTGGACTTGGATGTGGACGTGGACGTGGACGTGGATGTGGTCGTGGACGTGGACGTGGACGTGGACGTGGACGTGAACGTGGATGTGGACGTGGACGTGGACTTGGACGTGGACGTGGACCTGGACCTGGACGTGGAACTGGACGTGAACCTGGACGTGGACGTGGACTTGGACGTGGACGTGGATTTGGACGTGGACTTGGACGTGGACGTGGTCGTGGACGTGGACGTGGACGTAAATGTGGACGTGGACGTGGACGTGGTCGTGGACGTGGACGTGGACGTGAACGTGGTCGTGGACGTGGACGTGGTCGTAGACGTGGTCGTGGACGTGGACGTGGATGTAGACGTGGACGTGGACGTGGTCGTGGACGTGGACGTGGACGTGGTCGTGGACGTGGACGTGGACATGGACATGGAAGTGGACGTGGACGTGGACGTGGACTTGGACGTGGTCGTAGACGTGGACGTAGACGTGGACGTGGACGTAGACGTAGAGGACGTGGACGTAGACGTGGACGTTGACGTGGTCGTGAACGTGGACGTGGACGTGGAGGTGGACGTGGAAGTGGTCATGGACGTGGACGTGGACGTGGAAGTGGAAGTGGAAGTGGTCATGGACGTGGACGTGGACGTGGTCGTGGACGTGGACGTGGACGTGGACGTGGACTTGGACGTGGACGTGGACGT